AAATCAACAATAATACTAAAAGCAATCCTTTTGGCGGAAGCTGGTGGTTACGATGGAAAAAAGAGGCACTACGAGTAAAAAGGCACTAACGGCAACCAGTAGTGGCGTGGCGTACTTTGCGATATATCCATTGATCTGCCACTTTAACCTATGGAGAAAGCTCGCCAAACAGGGTGTTCGCAAAGATAACTTCAAAAATCAATTCTTTACCATAGCTTCAAATGGGGAAAAATCGAAAATTGATCCTTCGCTCGAAGACGATGGAGGCTCCCGCTCCCTCTCGACTAGGATGAATGAGCGTAAAATCTAAATTACTGTATTGCCGGAGACCAGTCATAAATTTAAATGGACTTTTTTATCTACAACTTTATTTTATTAGAGATACAAAATTGACACACATTCGCACAGAAACATGTGGAAATACAGAAACGACGGGAAAATAATAGGTTTTCACCAGAGATCTAGCGAATAATGGGCATATTCATATCATTCTCTTCGCATTAGAAACAAAATATCAGTTACAAAGCTACGTCTTAAACGACCCAGAAAATTGCGTCATTTATTCAAAAGACGGAGTGTAAAAATTGGCAGAAAAAAGATCCAGAAAATTTTGACAATTTTTGACAAAACTGACCCTCACTTTATCTTTAAGATTTAAGTAGGCCCTTTCGGGAATTGGATCGCATTTAGCAAAAAGGAACCAGCGCGATTTAGGTGTTTTCGAAGCCTAGCAACTTTTCTTTTTCTTTCATAAACACTTACTACAAAATTCAGTATTAAAATTTACGCAATTAATTTCCTTTAAAATAAGCAATTTTTTGGCGAGAAGCCAACACTTTTTGATTTTCTGGGAGATTTTTTAGAAAAATATGAAGCAGCAACATTTCTAAAACACTGTAATCGCGCTGGTTCCTTTTCGCTACATGCGATCCAATTCACCCCCTTTGGCTGACAACGGATCGGCAGTAAATAGGATTGGAAGCTTCTGGTGATTCTAAGGGAGTCCTCTCAAATGAGTCAGTTGCGCTGGGCACAGAATCGTGTTTTCATGCTTTATTTTTGCGGATTAGTTTAATAATATCTGCCCGATTAGCAACTTTCTACGTTTAATACTAGCCGAGATATCGCCCATTGAAAAGTCGGGTTTCTAGCGCCATCCACCCCGGTAGTGGCGCCCTTGGTTTCTCCCACCTTGCTTTCATCCTAGTTTCATGTTGAGTATAACTAGAGTACCCGTATAGCGAGAGTATAGACGGATGTGAAACTCCGAAAATCCATCAGGCCTTCACCGATGCCTCCGCGAATAAAGTTAAGGCCCAGAAATGCAGCCAACCTATGAATTTCAATTATCCAGAGCGATTTATTAATACAATTGTTACGAGCCATCGTTTATAAAGCACGTATTTGACTTAGTTTCTGCAAAAATTTACGTATTTTTGTGGAAGAACGCTCATTTATGTACTTTCTTAGCCATCTTCGTTAGAATTGGAGTCTACAGACTGGTAGTGAAATTTTGTGCGTTAGAAGTTGGTTAGAAGGGTGGCTGCACTTTTGGGCCCTCAGCCCTCCATGAAGCGATCTGTCCATATACTCTCGCTATACATGTACTCTAAGTATAACCAGTGCAAATTTTTGTCTCCCTGACCGATGACAGCAAGACGGGGGAAACGGAGGGTGTCACTACCACGGGCGATATCTCGGTTGATACTGAACATAGAAAGTTGCTGTTTTGACCGATCGTAATATTTTTAGCTGATCGATCTCCTAGAATAAAGCATCAAAACACAATGCTGTGACCAACACAACTGACCCATTGGGCTATTTAGATCAAAAGGAATTATGTTAGTTCTCATATAAGACCTGAAAACGACAAGAATACATGCATAGTAGGGCTCATTTCACGAAGGCTGTATTCAGAGGCGAGGCGTGAATGATCGATTACCGGTATCTCCCCGTTTTAAACTGTGGTAAAGAATCGGTCATTAAGGTGTTCGTTGCGAACACCCTGTTTATCGATCCTTTTCCATGGGTTTAAGTGGCAGATCAATCGATATATCGCTAGGCACGTCACGCCACTGGATGTAATTTCTTTTGATTACGCCATTTTTCCTTAGCTCGGCAGCACATTTGGACTAAATATTGAAATTACGATGCAGAAATCTCATCCCGATTACAAAACCAGTTAAACAGGAATAATACGAGTTTCGGACTTTCTGTAATATTCCGGAGCTTAAAAACGAAGATTTAAGTTGAAAAAATAACGGGGGATGTCACAGCGCCCATAAATATTCGAAAATTCAAATGGAAGTTTCTGCAATATATTCTCTTACAAAATAAGATGAAGAGAAAGTCACTTCGGAAAAAAGCAAAACTAGAAACAAGCTTTCATAATCAATATGTCTTGGTTCTCTAGCCACGAGAGGAATTAGAGCACTGCGCGACGTGTTTCCTCTATAAAATTTTACGAGCAAATCGAAGTCATGAGACGGATGGGGAGTGTGGAAATGAACTCCGAAACAAATTAAGATTAACATTGCTTGAATGACACAAATACAAATGACGTCATCTGTATAGTCTCAACTTGAAATTGTCAATGATTAGAGTATCGTTTTTCTCCGGTGTGCGATCGAATATGTACCCTCGGAGAAACTATTTATGAGAACCAAGCTGAGAGAAGCCTACAATTAAAAGGTCAAACACCGGCGTGTGTCGTATGCGTTGATTTAAACGGCTTTTTCTGGACAAAAAGGCAGAGCACTGAGTGAAAATGCATGGTTCATCAGAGTATGCTTCTTCAAATGCCTTTTCTGCCGAAAAGAGGATGAGCAGTGACTGCATCACTACAGTTTTCCGTCAGTATGCATTCGCAAATGTCTCTTTAAAGTGACATCCTCGGGGAAGGACATCGAACAATGACTACAACTGAAGGGTTTCTCACTAGTGTGCGTTCGCATATGTCTCTTTAAATTTTTTTTATGCCTGAAAGAGGAGGAGCAATTACTGCAACTGAATAGTTTCTCACCAGTATGCGTGGTAACATGTGCCGTTAGAGACTGTTTGCGAGCAAAGCATGCCGTGCAATAACTGCAACTGAATGGTTTCTCTCCAGTATGCGTCCGGATGTGTTTTGTCAAATTACTTTTCTCAGCAAAAGAGGCCGAGCAATGACTGCAACTGAATGATTTCTCGCCAGTGTGCGTTCCCATGTGTGCTATCAAATGGCATTTCTTAACAAATGAGGCCAAGCAATGACTGCAACTGAATGGTTTCTCGCCCGTGTGCACTCGCATGTGTTTCTTTAAATTGTCATTACTAGTGATGGTTTCTCGCCAGTATGCGTTCGGATGTGTCTTGTCAAGTTACTTTTCACAGCAAAAGAGGCCGAGCAATGACTGCAACTGAATGGTTTCTTGCCAGTGTGCGTTCGCATATGTACCTTGAGATTTTCTTTCTGACTGAAAGAGGAGGAGCAATGGCTGCAACTGAATGATTTCTCACCAGTATGCGTTCGAACATGTTTAGTTAAAGCAGACTTTTGAGCAAAGCATGCCGTGCAATGACTGCAACTGAATGGTTTCTCACCAGTATGCGTTCGAACATGTATTGTTAAAGCATCTTTTCGAGTAAAGGATGCCGTGCAATGACTGCAACTGAATGGTTTTTCGCCAGTATGTGTGCGAATATGTTTCGTTAAATCATACTTTTCAGCAAAGCATGCCGTGCAATGACTGCAACTGAATGGTTTCTCACTAGTGTGCGTTCGCATGTGTCTCTTTAAATTGTTTTTATGCCTGAAAGAGGAGGAGCAATTACTGCAACTGAATAGTTTCTCACCAGTATGCGTGGTAACATGTGCCATTAGAGACTCTTTGCGAGCAAAGCATGCCGTGCAAAAACTGCAACTGAATGGTTTCTCTCCAGTATGCGTCCGGATGTGTTTTGTCAAATTACTTTTCTCAGCAAAAGAGGCCGTGCAATGACTGCAACTGAATGGTTTCTCGCGAGTGTGCTTTCGCATATGTACCTTGAGATTGTGTTTCATACTGAAAGAGGAGGAGCAATGACTGCAACTGAATGGTTTCTCACCAGTATGCGTTCGAACATGTTTCGTTAAAGCAGACTTTTGAGCAAAACATGCCGTGCAATGACTGCAACTGAATGGTTTCTCGCCAGTGTGCGTTCGCATGTGTTCCTTTAAATTGTCTTTACTAGTGAAAGAGGAGGAGCAATGGCTGCAACTGAATGGTTTCTCACCAGTATGCGTTCGAACATGTTTCGTTAAAGCATCTTTTAAAGTAAAGCATGCCGTGCAATGACTGCAACTGAATGGTTTCTCGCCAGTATGAGTTCGGATGTGTGTTGTCAAGTTAGATTTTATAGCAAAAGAGGCCGAGCAATGACTGCAATTGAATGGTTTCTCTCCAGTATGCGTCCGGATGTGTGTTGTCAAGCTACTTTTCACAGCAAAAGAGGCCGAGCAATGACTGCAACTGAATGGTTTCTCGCCAGTGTGCGATCGCATATGTACCTTGAGATTTCGTTTCGTACTGAAAGAGGAGGAGCAATGGCTGCAACTGAATGGTTTCTCACCAGTATGCGTTCGAACATGTTTCGTTAAAGCAGACTTTTGAGCAAAGCATGCCGTGCAATGACTGCAACTGAATGGTTTCTCGCCAGTGTGCGTTCGCATGTGTTCCTTTAAATTGTCTTTACTAGTGAAAGAGGAGGAGCACTGACTGCAACTGAATGGTTTTTCACCAGTGTGCGTGCGAACATGAGCCGTCAAACACCGTTTCTGAGCAAAGCATGCCGTGCAATGACTGCAACTGAATGGTTTCTCACCAGTGTGCGTGCGAACATGTGCCGTTAAAAGCCGTTTCTGAGCAAAGCATGCCGTGCACTGACTGCAACTGAATGGTTTCTCTCCAGTATGCGTTCGGATGTGTGCTGACAAGTTACTTTTCATAGCAAAAGAGGCCGAGCAATGACTGCAACTGAATGGTTTCTCGCCAGTGTGCGTTCGCATATGTACCTTGAGATTTCGTTTCGTACTGAAAGAGGAGGAGCAATGGCTGCAACTGAATGGTTTCTCACCAGTATGCGTTCGAACATGTTTCGTTAAAGCAGACTTTTGAGCAAAGCATGCCGTGCAATGACTGCAACTGAATGGTTTCTCGCCAGTGTGCGTTCGCATGTGTTCCTTTAAATTGTCTTTACTAGTGAAAGAGGAGGAGCACTGACTGCAACTGAATGGTTTTTCACCAGTGTGCGTGCGAACATGAGCCGTCAAACACTGTTTCTGATCAAAGCATGCCGTGCAATGACTGCAACTGAATGGTTTCTCGCCAGTATGAGTTCGGATGTGTGTTGTCAAGTTATATTCCATAGCAAAAGAGGCCGAGCAATGACTGCAATTGAATGGTTTCTCGACAGTGCGCGTTCGCATGTATTTCTTTAAATTGTCTTTACTACTGGAAGAGGAGGAGCAATGACTGCAATTGAATGGTTTCTCGCCACTATTTACTTGAATATGTCGCGCCATTGAGGTTTTCGTAGTAAAAGATGCATCGCAAACATTGCAATTGGATGGTTTGGCATTCATTTTTTTCGAATCTCTCATGGATACTGTACTCATATTTACATGTATGTGTCGAGCGTTCCTTTTTTCACCGTTTGCAAGGGTTCTCGTTCTCTTGCCTACGTTCTCTTCGGCCTGTCCGAGATAGGTAGTGCCGATGCTCTCTCTTTTCACTGACGTTATCTTCGGGACGAAAGCACGAAAATCAACCTCCGAATCGAGCTCTCCGTCCTCATTATACAACCTAACTTCAGACTTCCCAATTTGGAGAGGTGGCTCACTCTCAATTTCGATTTCCGTATGTAACTGGTCAGCCAAACTTTCATCACATTCGTCGGGATGGGGAGTCTCCATGTTTTCTATCTTTACTCGCTCTGTCATCGAGACACTATCTCGATAATTAACGTCCAAATCGAGTTCTCTTTTTGCTTTTCCCAACTTGGCTTCCGCTTCGTTTGTTTGGGCAGGGGGTTCACTCTTAATTTCCATATTCGTGAGTGATAGGTCAAGCAAATTTTCATTACATTCGTCGGGAAGTGGAGTGCTCATGTTCTCTCTCTTCACTCGCTCTGTTATTAGGACAAAATCACGAATATCATTCTCCAAATCGTGTTCTGCTCCTCCTCGTTCCAGCCTGAGTTCTGACTCATCCGTCTGGGGAGTGGGTTCACTCTTGATGTCAATACTTGTATGTAGCTGGTTAGTCCAACTTGCATCAACTTTTTCATCCTCGCATTCGATTTTGGGGGGAAGAGCGGAGGGAGAATCGAAGATGGACGAGACCGAGGTTTCTTGGGTCTCTTCTATTGATGCAAGTCGGGGATTGTTGGAATCTTCAAGGCGACTTTCTACGGAGTGGGAAGATGGGTTGCCAGACATACCGCTATACTCCGAGCTTGTGCTTGCTTCAGGCACGGCCAGCATTGATGGGCTCGTGCAATAAATCCTGGACACGTCTCCCTGGGGATCCTTCACACTTTTATCGATTGGTGGATTCACTGGATTGTAGTCTTCAGGTGTGCTGAGTGCTGAGTGTTCTTCCCGTTAGATTTTTAGCTTCGGCATTCTCCATTCAAAATCCTGAACAAAATAAATATAAAGTTTTGTAAGCAACGCTTTGGACAACCGATTACGATAGGAGGTATTCGATAGAGGGATTGAAAGACGGAGAGATATTTGTTGCGATAAATCGATTGATCTGTCATGTAAACCTATGGACGAGGATCTATGTACACTGCACAGGGTGTTCGCAACGAAAACCTTAATCATAGATTCTTTAACATAGCTTCAGATGGGAAAAAATCGATAATCGATCATTCACGCCACGCCACTGGATACGGGTACCCGCGGGATCGAAGTATGCGATGTTTCGAATTACATAGGTAGTTAAGACAGGAATCATCATAATCCGAGAAGACAAGAACCCCGAAATTCAGCGGCGTGGCGTGCTTTGCGATATTTATAATTTCATCTTTAATGCTACCGATCCACGATTTTGTTGGATGTCCCTTACGTCTTCTTTTCGGAGGGACCCAATATAGACCCTTTTTAGGCAAACTGTCATCCGCCATTCGTTGAGCATGGCCACACCGGACAGGCTGTACAGTTATAATATCATGCACGATGTTCTGCTCGGCGCTCATGATCTGCATAGAGTACATAGAGCCGTAATGTAAATGCTCGACGAGTTCCCAGCACGGTGTGCGCCGAGTTCGGGTCACTTTTTCGATACATGTTCGATCCAAAATGGCGGTATGGAATACGTGGTGATTCCTATCTTCTTTGTTTACATCGGATGGCCGGGTACCCGTGTATCGCAAACAATCGATTATGTATCGAAAAAGTGACCCGGCGTCACACAGGAGTCTCGGAATTCGGGACCTGGAAAATGCCTACTTACGCTTTCATTACGACTCTACATATGTACTCTATGATGATCTCACGCACTCTTTCGTTCCTTACGTGATCCCTCTTAGAGATGTTGGCCCGACCGAAACCTACGGAAAGTGGAGTCTTGATGTTTTGTCATAGAGTGCTGCTTAGCTACATTAGTTGAATGCAAAATGATGAGAACTTTTCACTCATATTAGTATCAGGAGGAGCTGATGACTTTTCGGGTTGAAATTAAGTATTCAGTTTTATTTTAGACGCATGATAAAAGTCTGACTATTTTATACCGAGAAATCCCTTTCCCATGCTAAATATAGTTCCCGTCAAAAAGTTCCATCTGATACCGAGTTTCGAAAAAATCGATTGAACCCACTCGTTAATGAGGGCGCTCAACGGAGCTCACAATGTCAGCGCAGATACCTTTGCGAACCCGTCCTACCGCACAGTGGATCGAGTCAATAGGAGAGGGCGAACGAAATTTGGATACTTGAAACGCTTATAATTCGTTTATACAAAATTAAAAGTTCGGTTATTGGTTCAATTGATTTTCTCGTAAAATATTCTTCAAGAGAAACCTCTTAAAGACTGTAAATTTAAGACAAAAATTGTAAACTGATTGCGGCAGACGAACTCATACGGTAGTATGTTGGAGTTTTTTGCCAACGTGCGTTTAAAATTCAGCATAAGGCTGAAAATCTCAATACAGAGGGAAAAAGCTCGTTCGAGCCCAAATTTTCCGATTGAGCGAAATTGAGCGATTGTATTGAGATTTTCAGCTTTATTCTGAATTTTTAACGCACGTTGGCATAAAACTCTAACATACAAAAATTATCT